CGCCGGGGGGGGGAGGGCAGCCGGAGCCCTGGGAGGAGGGCGGCGAGCCCCGGCGGGGGCTCTGCTCTCCCCCCGGCGGCCGGGGGGAGGGCGCCGGGGGGGAGGGCGGCCAGAGCGCCGGGGGGAGGGCGGCGAGCCCGGCCGTGGCCCCACTCTCCCCGGCGGCTGGAGCGCTGTGCCGCCCCCCTCCAGGTGCCGCCCCAAGCACAAGCTTGGTGGGCTGGTGCCTGGAGCCGGCCCTGTGGGAGGCAAACTGATAAGAGTCTCCGATGGTTTTGTTAGTCATCCAAAATCCCAAACAAGCCAATTTCTAATGTATAGGATATCAACTGCTGTATTTCCCCCAAGGCATTGTGGATATTTACTAGATTCCAAAGAATCCACCCTTCTTTGGGTTCCACAGTTCTCTACCTGGTTCTTGCTGTTTGTGACTGGATTGAAATTCTGAATCCACAGCATTCTAGTTCAGTGGTTCTCAACCACGGGTACACATACCCCTGGGGGTACTTAGAGGTTTTCCAGGGGGTACATAAACTCATCTACATATTTGCCTAGTTTTACAACAGGCTACATAAAAAGCACTAGCAAAATCCGTACAAACTAAAATTTCATACAGATAATGACTTGTTTATACTGCTCTATACACTATACATTGAAACGTAAGCACAATATTTACATTCCAATTGATTTATTTTATAATTATCTGGTAAAAATGAGAACATAAGCAATTTTTCAGTAATAGTGTGCTGTGACACTTTTGTATTTTTATGTCTGATTTTGTAAACAACTAGTTTTTAAGTGAGACTTTGGGATACACAAGACAAATCAGATTCCTGAAAGGGGTACAGTAGTCTGGAAAGGTCGAGAGCCACCGTTCTAGTTAACTCTTTCCACGGTGCTTTTATAAGCTGCTAGATGCCTAGTTTTGACATGCCAACTGATGGATAGCAACCAACACATCATTCTCTTGAGCAATTTTGGCTTCACAAAACTCAGTCAGTTGGCTTATTCAGGGTTACATTGGCTCATTGAGAAATCCCTTTCTCTTTTTCTCACTCCTTCTGTCCAGATATTCAAAACGGAGGCCTCACAACAAATGAGCAGACAGGCTCATTTTAAACACTATAGAACAGAATTGCTACTGCACCCAGCTTCCAGTGGTCAGAGCAGAGTAGCAGGGCTGTCAGGGAGCTGATTACAGATTCCCAAATTCCATCCCAACCCAGGTTAAAGAAGCATGGGTAGTACTCTGGAGACACAGGAGCCACTCTGCTGGCTTTACACTTGCTGCAGAAGACTTTCCCACATGGAGAGAATCCTCATCAAGGAACCTGGTGGTTTCCATTTCCTTTGCACCACATGGAACACTACTGAAAGTCTAATGACTATTTGTGATTTACATACATTGAAGGAACCCATATCACAGCAATACTAATAGTCCCCAACAGATTAGATTAGAGTACAAAGGTACGACGCCATCTTTCCCACTAACTGAACTGAGAATAGAACATGCTAGCTACTCTTTATCTTTTCTTGGATTCCACATCACCAATCCATTCAGAGTTATCAGTTAGACTATTTGTGCGAGTAAGGGTCAAAGAGGTCTGTACTCATCTCATACACAGCACTGCCCAAGGATTCAGCAGCCTACGTTTTGCAGTAGAGTGACAAAAAGTTACTGTAGCTAGAAATGACAAAATACTAAAGGTGAAAGTTGGCTAAGTGTTTTCTGATCTAAAAATTAACATATAATAAATAAGCCTTATGGTATGGAATTACAATTTCTTATTAAACTGCCTTTAAAAAAAATTGACCTTACTATCACAATTCACAAATGCATCACAGGTACAGTTATTGTGTGAGTGCTAATAATTTCCATATCAGAGGCTTCTTACATTTTGGTAGAAAGATAACTCTGTGAAGGCTAATGAGCTGTGCTAAAATCAACACTACAATACATAATAGGCTATTTAAAATCCAATCATCTATGCTACACCATTCTTTACATTATCTTACAACATTAGATACTTACTTGCAATAGTACCAGACCACCATACTATATCTGTTAAATATGAAGTACCTAGAAGAGGCAACATGGAAAAAGAGTGGATGAGTGCTATTGGAAAAAATATAAAAGAGCAACATTAAAGCTACGCTAAGAATTTATTTTCTCACACTCTCACACACAGTTGTAAGGACATTAGAAAAAAACTATGATGGTAGCTCAGTGGTTTGAGCATTGACCTACTAAACCCAGAGTTGTGACTTCAATCCTTGAGGGGGCCATTTAGGGATCTGGGGAAAAAAAATCTGTCTGGGGATTGGTCCTGCTTTGAGCAGGGGGTTGGACTGGATGACCTCCTGAGGTCCCGTCCAACCCTGATATTCTATGAAACTGGCCTAACTAATCCTGGTATGCTTTCTTGATGCATCTGATCATTAGAAATTCAATTTCAAGTGCTTATGAAATATCCTCATCCTATATTAAAGGAAGCCTTGAAATATCCACAAATGTTTCTGAAGATTCTATTCACCATACATGCCATTACCAGGAGATAGGGTTATCTTTCAGAAAATCTGGCCTAAGAGGCAAAGAATAATTTCTACAAGCCAATTTGGCTGGGACAAATTTAAGATACTTACAGAGAAATCTGTCAGAGAAGATGTTTGGGTGTGGACATTTGGCAAGCTCTTAGTCTCCTGTGGCTATGTGATCTAGGCCTTCTCTGGGACGTGAACATGTTACATTTCAAAGACATGGGTGAAAACTCCAGACTGTTCCTTAACTGCCTACCTACCAGTCTTGAGACTGTATATTTTCATTATATCATCAGACAATTGTTATGGATTTTCATCAGACAATTCTTATGGAGTTTTCATCTACTATTTTACCTTAGACTTTTACGTGGAATTTACTAGGGAGCTGTGATATTCTTAAAACTTGACTAAAAGAAAGGTATGATTTTTCAGGACACACTTTACAAATCATGAGTTTTATTTTCCTATTGGAGAATCCTAAAGAAAATCAATATTAAAAAAAGTTATAAGAGTCCAAGGTCCATTATGAGTTACAATAAGTCCTGGACCAGAGCAAAAAAATAGAAAACCATGTTAAAATAAATTAATGCCTGTCCAAATACTACTAAATATTTTAAGGTCTAATATCTTGCAGACCATCAGGGCTAGACACCAGGAAAACTCTCAAGGAGCAGAACATTTGTATTTATCTGGGGTAGTCTGCAAGGTGTCAGACAACAACATCACATTATTCTGGTTATTATTTCCTGCCCGTATGCAGGAAATAGTTCTGCTCTTACTTTAGCAGATGCTCTCTTACAAATTGCTAGAAATCGAACCAATGTTGTACTCATCAGCTGAAAGTTCAGAATCCCAAATAGCATAAAGCAATAACCTTTAACTCTAGGGACTCCTAAAATAATGGCTGCTAAAACCACATCGGAATTGAAAGGGGAGAAAAAAAAATATGACAGTAAGCACTATGATCAGTTTTTGAGTGGGTGTCTAATTTATCAAACTTTTTACATTTCGGTTACTGCATATAAAATAAAAATGTCTCAATAGTTGTACAAATTACACAGAATATCAACACTACTAAATTAACTTCACAAAATATTTGTCCCCCTACTGCTGTTCCTCTCCAAGCAGAGTTTGATAGTATCTCATTAGTGTAGCAAAAACTCGAAGAGGCAAGTACCATGCTGTCAATTATGGACCTAATGCAAAGCCTACTGAAATCAATGGAAAGAGACCCTCTGACTTCAATGAACTTTGAATCATGCCCTATGTTAGTTCTGACTTCCACATTCAAGCTATACTGGCCCAATATATTAAAATGGAGAAAACACTGGCCTACTATCTTTTAGGATTCCATATTTTTGCTACTTAATTTTGCTGGGCTTTTGTAGTTCCCTCTTGTAAATAGAAATTAGGAAATGCTGTCCTCAGTAGGTTGGCACTCAAAATTTGCCAAGAAAAAAAAACATAGTGGAGATACAAGTAACTTTTCAATATATTTTGTGACATTAATTTTATTTTATATATTTGATGTTCAACTACCAATACTGAAAAAAAGTTAAATTATGTGAATTTGAGAGTTCACGACTTTAGCATAATTCTTTAAACATGGTTAGGTCCCAGCTACACAGCAAAATGGAAATTTGATTTACTTATGCTGGGAACGACAATGTTGTAACCAAGTTACTCCTGAAATGTGTTTGTTGTGTAAATATCACTTGTGAAAGAAAAAAAGAAAACAAACAATCCAACAAAAATTAAACTTGTGTTTACAAAGCATATTCCTGGGGGAATTCTGCACCACTGTGCATGTGTAGAATTCATGTCTCCCATAGATTTCTTTGCTTCCCCACAGAAAAATGACTTTTTGACAGAGAAGCAAAGGAAAGCTGCAAGAGCAGTAACACACCACTCCCTAGCAGGGCAGGTACATTTTTTCAGGCACCCAGAGCAGCCAGGGCCACCTGGGGGGGGGCAAGTGGGGCAATTTGCCCCAGGCCCTGAAGGGACCCCACGAGCCCTGGTCCAGCGGCGGTCCGGGTCTTCGGCGGCATTTTGGCGGCGGGGGGGGGGGGGGGGCCTTCAGTGCTGCCGAAGACACGGAGCGACTGAAGGGCCCCCCGCTGCCAAAATGCCACCGAAGACCCGGACTGCCGCCGGGTGAGTACAAGCGCCGCAGCTCCCCTGCTTTGTCCCAGGCCCCCTGAATCCTCTGGGCGGTCCTGAGAGCAGCTGGCGGAAAGGTACATCACCGCAGAGCTGGGGACACCCCAGCCAGTGGCTCCTACCCTGAGCCGGGATCAGCTGCTAGTCCCAGCTTGGGCTAGAGGCAGGAGAGGACAGGACTTCCGTTTCCCCTGCAAGGAGTGGCTGGGGCTGTGTCAGACCCAGCCCTAGAAACCTGCCCCAGCTGCAGGAAGCTCAGCATCCTCCCTTGCTTCCTGCCCCCATTGCTCCTCAGCTACAGGGGGAGGGGTGGGGTCACTGTACAGGGAGCTGTTCCCCCATCCGCCCAACCACCGTTCATCCGGACCTCCCATACCCAGAAACCCCTGCCAAGCCTCACCCTGTATGCCCAGAATCCCACTAGCCCTCCATACCTGAACCCCACCCCACTGAATCTCAGACCCCCCCACCTCTGCACCCAGACCACCACCCCCAGAGCTCCCTGACAAGCCTGAGCCCCCACATCCAGACCCCCACACCACTGACCCAACTAGCTGCACCCAGACCCCCACCCCACCATGTCCTACTCCTCCAGCACTGAGATGCCCCTGCTGAGACCCCACACCCAGGCCCCTCCACTGAGCCCCAACCACTTTCACCTGGAAGCCCCTGCAGAGTCCCATTGCCCCTGCACCTAGAACCCCCGCACGAGCCTCTGTGCATCCAGATTCCCCCACACCTAGACCCCCTCCACTGAGTTGCCTGCACCCACACAGAATCCTCTCACCCCACCCCTGGATTCATCCTCACTGCGCTGCTCCACACTTGGATCCTGTCTGGTTGAGCCTGCCTGCCCCACACCTGGTGTGCCTGGCGCAGAGGGGCAGGACCCCAGGGTGTTTCTGGGGCAGGCCCAGGCCTTGTGCTGTGTCAGGGTTGGGTGCAGCCTCACCACTGAATCCATGACCCGGGGTTGGGGGGAAGCTTTTTTTTTTTTTTTTT